CCAGGCCGCCGGTCAGGTGGGGTCCAGGCCTGAGTCTTTCTATTTTCCTTTCCGGCCTTGCATTCTTCGAAACTGAAAAGAAAAAGCACAAAAAAAAAAAAAAAAAAACACCACTTCAGAATATAAATCCATCGCAATTGGCTGCCATCAGATTCTCCTGCATCAGTGGTCGGACGATGCCCCGCAGATGTCCCACAGGTGTTTGTGGGACACAGTTTACCTTACTCCTTTGCTATAGTGGAACCGTAGGGCGAGCTCTATTGGCAGACATCGGTGCAAGGAGCAGCATGTGAAGCCTTTCCCCTTGGTGCGAAGCGGCGGCAAATCCGAAGGCAACAAGAAAAAAAACGAAAAAAAAAGAAAAAAAACAGTTGCAAAATTGGGGTCGGTGCCGTGTGACTGCCCGAGTCCCATTTCCCAAAATCGTGTGGCGGGCGCGACCGTGTCTTTTCCGAATTGGGGACACTGTGCGACCAACGCCACCACCAAAACCCCGAATCGGGCCTCGGGATCGCAGTGTGAGCGTGCCCTGAGCTACATAGGCTTTGAGTTGGACCCCACAGGAATGCGGAAAGGAAGAATGTTTCTGCGAAACTGTTTCCGGGACCCCACATGCAGCGCAGGACGTTCTGGCAACACCGAAATGTCTTCCAAATACCGGTTTCCAAGACCCCACAACCCGCAAATAATGGCGTGGAAGAACGCTTTCCATTGTTTCCACATCGTCCGCGGCGTGGAAAAGTGGCTCCGGAGGACATCTCGCCGTGATTTTGTGCCGAAAGTTGAGACTGGGGGAGGGAGTGCGCGGGGTACTTTCCAAAGTCACGCCCACCATTTGGACCAGCAATTGTCCGGCCCCTTGGCCTAGCCCGGTCGTGGAGCAGTGAGCAGGCAGGACATGCGTCGCACGTCGAAACCGGGCCCAAGGCTGTTGGTCCCTCGGAGCGAGGAAGGAAACGGCCGGTTGTGGCCCCGCCATTTTCAAGTCGAATTCAATTTCGAACGGGGGTGCGCCCGGCGTTGTCGTCAGCAGTCCACGGATGCAGGGAACTTCCAGCACTATGCACGTTTATGACGGCCATTTGCTATTGTACCCGACACGTGGCTTCTGCTGGTCTGTCGTGCCGTGGAGTCGTGGATCAACAGTGCCGTCGTGCGCCTCCCATGAACGTAGTCCACCATCTCCGTTGCCGCACTATGCCATGGCCGTCGGTTGGCCGACGTGTGCATGGTCTCGCGGGTGACTTCATGCGTCGTGGGTTTGTGGCGGATGTGCAACCGCTGTGGGGACGTGGTCGGTGTGTTGGAGTACCGCTTCCCAAATCCATCTCCTTCATCCGCCGAGCATTGTCCACCCACGTGCCCTCCCTTGGTGCTGTGGAAGTTGGGAGCGTTGCGCGTGCAGTTCGCCCGAACATCAGGAGTGTCGTCGGTAGAAGCTTCCTGGCCAAAGCGAACGACATCACGCATGCAGTTGAACGTTGTGGCGGTAGAGGGCGGATCGTCGAGAAAGGGCTGAGAGACCGGGACGTGGCTGTTGTGGGGACTGTTTATGCACGACCGAACGCCGCACACCCACCACTATCGACTAGCACGACAGCTGCACAAGATTGTGTTGTGGGTGATGGCAGGGCTTGTCCGTGTCGGTGCCTGCGAGATTCGACCGGCACGACGGTGATCGTCATCGACGTCGGCGACCGTGATTGGGGGGGTGTTGGTTCGCACATGTTCCTCTGGGGCTTGTTTATGATTGTGTCCGTGTTGGTTTTGTTCGCCGTCGTTGTTGTCCTCTGTTTGGGCGTTGTAGTGGTCGCTCTCCTCGCCACGCGTCGGTAGCGGTGTTGTTCAGTTGCAGAAGCGGGTATCTAGGGAGACGTGCGAAAGCAATGGAACGACGTAGTTTCACTGATGATTTGTACAGTGATTTGGGGGGGTCTTGTCAGTCCGCTGACGCAGGGGGTGGCACGATTTTTTGTGCACAACCACGCACGGAGTCAGTGCAATCGGTGCCTTCATGGTCTTACGTGCCGCAGCCCGGTGTCCGTAGAGGTTCGTTCGACAGTTATGGCCGGGAGAGATCTGCTCCGCAAGGCGGTAACAGCATGGCGCACGCACCATTACATTCGAGAGGTTTCCGAGAAGGGCCAGCCATGGCTTGTGCCAACATTTGGGGTTCCCCTCCGGATCTTCCACGGCAGTTGTCCCAGCCTCGGGTGGGGATGATGCCGCACATCTCGCTAGTTCCTGTGGGCCGAACGACAGGAGGGGGCTGTTCCAACCACCCAACTCCGCATGGGATGAGTGATCAGCAGTCGGCGGAACTGTCTGCGATGGGGGGGGGGAGAGTGCTTCAAGGTGCGTCACCCGCAATCGGTATGTTGTCGGTCGTGGGAGCTGCACAAGCGGCGAGAAACTCGGAAGTCCACCAAAGGAGAATGCCGGTTGACGTGCAGGCGAGTGGGGTGGACAGCAGTTCGCCTGACCTTTTTTGCGCAACGGACAGCAGGGGATATCGACAGTGGCACGAAGAAGGCAGGAGCAACGCTAGAACCGGGTTTCTGGGAACAAGGCCGGCGAGACAGGGGAGGCCGTTGTCGAGGGTGCGGGGATGGGAAACCGTGGGGAGAGAGCGGAGAAGGATGACGATGATGGAACGACATCCGCAGCGTCGGACAAGATTGATGAAGGAGTCGGTGATCGGACCAAACCGCCTCCTGTGGGTGGACGGAAAAGGAAGGGAGGCAGCTCACCACGGCAGCCGAAGAAGAACAACCCCTGGTCTTTGGAAGAGAGATTGGACCTCGCGAAGTTCGCCGGCGAGGACGACGCCCTGATGGCCGACGCCGAAGGTGCTCAGGCGTGCATGACGAGGTTGAAAAGATGGGAGTGGGTTGCAGGAAGGCTTGGAGACATCGGTTACTCTAGGACGGCGGAAGACTGCAGGAAGAAATGGGCGGAGCTGGTGAAGAAGGTGAGGGAGATACGGGATGCATGCGAAGGGTCGGGGAAACAAGCATACTGGGACACCACGACGGAGCAACGGAGGA